GGTGCTGGCCTCTTCAGCAGAGCCATCGGCTCCTTCCAAGAAAACGCTTTCAACACTCTGTACGTTCTCCTCTCCTCCTCCTTCCCCTGTCCGCTAATCCACGCTTTCCTATTTCATCACAGACTCGGCGCAGATGTCGACGACGAAGGTGCAGCGGGAGACGGTCCGGGCTCGTACGACGTCCGTGGCAACGTCTGGCACATCGATTGCTGCAACCCCGAGAATAATTTCGATAGCGACGGCTGGACGATGTTCAACGCCATCTTTGGATGGACGAACAGCGCGACCGTCGGCACTGTCCTCGGATACGTCTTTTTCTGGCTCGCAGCTATTTTATGTCTTATCATCATGAAGTACAAAGAGGTCAGTCTTCTGGGTGTTCCCGAGTGACACCGCTGTATGCTGACTGAGAATTGGATGTTGTTTGCTAGGGACGGACGAAGCTGTTTGGATACGAGAGTGCGGCGGGTGTGAGGCGCCGGGAGCGTACTGCGCTCTCACGAGGAGATTCAGAACTCAGTGCTGCAAACAGCGAGCACAAAGAGTAAACTCCCCCTCCCCACAAAAACTACGCGAACTCCCGTTTCTTCCTTCGTCGTTTCTCATTCACGGTCGCTCCGGTCGATTTCCGTAAATATGACCCTAGATTCAGCTGAAGTTACGTAGCCTTGTATTTGTTTTCCTTCTTCCTCGGCATTATCTCTTTTTGCTGTCTAGCTCAAGCCGCGCGCAGCCGTTCTGTGTCTACGGCAACCCCCTGTTGTGCTGATGGTTTTTTGCTCGGGTGCATCCAGCTCGATAGACCGGGTATAGCATTCCCAAGTAGACCGCTGCATCTCCAGTGTGAACAAATAAACAAAGAAGCATGTTGACAGCATCCGCGGCGTCCAACAGCATATGCAGATCATCCTGAGAAGACCTGATGAGATATGTCATCTTCCTGTCATGGGCTGGTAGCATGTGCCTCGGTGTCTCTCCTGGCATAAGCTGCATTCTGATAACGGAGGTCAGGAGGCAGCAGTGTCGTATCTGATAACCAGGATCTCGCTCGTTTCGGCGGTGCGTTTGCAATCCATGTTGACGTTGGTGTGTGAACGAGAGGTTGCCAGTGATGCTCTGCTTGGACTAGTGGAACCTTACCAGTTGTTAGTATTAGATCTAGACCCGCGGCGGCTAGAGTTTCGGATCCTTTTCGAACAGTTTGAGGACAGTCGAGCGGTGAGGAGCGCGAGGTTTCGGCTGAAGCACTGATTTGTTTAGGTTGAACGTTTACCAGAGTTTGCGAGATGTCCTGGGTGCCAGAGGGATAACCGACAACACTTTCATATTCAGATTTCAGCAGGAACGGAGATGGGGCTGGCCAGATACATGCATACAAGAAAACATATCAGTATGACAATAAGTACTAGTACTCTCTCATAGGTGGTCGTTTATCAGAACGGGAGGTCAAGAAAGAATTCGAGCACACACCAGCCAAGGGATAAACAAGAAGTCTTCGAGTATGGCTGGTGCATTCCTACTGCAACGAAGAGACAGAGAGCCTTTACTCCGGGTGTCCGCCACGGGAATATTCCCGTAAACAGGCGATCAACGGCAGACAAGCTTTCTTAGCCTCTCGAAGGTTGGCGTTGTAAGAGGCTCGTGTATTCTGGACAATAATTCAGTATCTTCAATGCGCCTCGTAGTAGTAGAAGCACAAACCGCAAGGTCGTGTACGAAAGTAAGGCTGTTTAGCAAGCTATTCAAATCAATATGAACATTACTCCAGGTGTTGTCGAACACGACCAGTCCCTCTTTAAGTTGATCGAAGTCCTGCCTGACACCATCCAGAGAGGGCTGAAAGCCGGACGTGGAACTCTGCGAGTTCTGTCCGACACAGTTCACTCTGGATTGTGAGGTACAACATTCCCGATGGTGAGCTTTTATAAAGCAGTATGTTGTTGAGATCCAACATCAAGGAGATAGTAAAGCGGTGCTGCGTACATAGATTCAGTTCAATCTCGATGTACCTGCCGGAGGAATTTTTCTCTGGAGAAATTGCAGCGTCAGCAGGAACATCACGACAAAGTATCACAATTACCGTGGTAAAGCAGGTAATCTTTGGGTATGCTGGACCACACGGCTTTGAGGAGATAAATCATCGTATCCAAGGAATTCTTCAAACCCTATGTCCGCTATCCATGAGTGTTCATTGGATGAAGGTCAGGCTTCAATACGACTCACCTCCCGGATCAACTGGTAACGGCTGAAAACAGAATAAGCGAGCCTGAGTGACGGGCTGAAAACAGGAAAGACGTCGTCCATACCTTGCTGCGCCAGACCATAGATTGGCCCAGAATCCACCCTCGGCCTTCGGTTCCAGTGCGTCCAAGGCTTTGTATGAGAACTTTTCGACCTCATCGGCAAGTTCGTAAAATTTCCACGAATTTGTTTGAGCAGACTCATGGTGGACCGTGATCATCTAGCAAACTTTAGGGTCAGCATATGTAAGGAAACTAATATGTGACTTATGATGTACTTCAATGACCGCCTTGATGGTTTGTCGCCTTGCCTTTATGACCCTGTCGCCCGAATCAGAGGACAGTGGAGCCAGCGATGTTTCAAGAGCTAAGAGGACAGAATTGATTATTTCTCCCCCGTCCTTGGTAAATATGTAAACTCACTGCCTAGGAAGTCTGCACAGGTACTGGCATTGAGTTGCGACTGTCTGTACAGATCATGATAGGTCTGTTCGGGTTGAATGATCGGCCCACCATGAAGATTGTCAATCATATGCAACCCGGTCAAATCTTAGCAAACTCCTGACCTTGGTGAGCCGGTCCCATTCATCACACAACCCAAGGTCTCTCTTCGGCGCAGTCATCAACACCGAAGCTATAGTTGTGAACAATCTCTGTACAGCTTCGTGATTCTTCGAGAGATTTGCAATCGTCTCGCGGTTCACCGCTTGGGATTTCGTCGCCTGAGGATTCGTCGCCTGGAGTTTCGTCGCCATGGTGCGCGAGGAAGAAGCGCAAGACAGGGAGGAGGAGATGGAAGAGCGGGAAGAGCAGGAGGAGAAAAAGGAGCAGGCGGATGATCTGGAGGAGGAGGAGGAGGATGGTGGAGAGAAGGAGGGAGAGGAGGAGCAGGAGGAGAAAGAGAAGGGAGAGAGAAAAGGGAGCATGGAGACGCATATCGAGGTTGGCGAGATATTGATGAAGATATACGACTGCGGATTTATGAGCTTGATTGAGACGTTTCATTGCACGCATGTCCGTAGTTCTCCGGTAAATTCTCATCAAGTGGGGCTCCCGGGTGACCTGGGATTTAATGAAGCTGTGCGACCTGTCGTCATACGATTTGTGTAGCAAAGGGTATCGGGTGGTATCAACGCGTGAGGTTTCTCAGGCGTTGTGGTGGCGAAAGTGTGGTATATGGCTGCGGAACCTTGAACTTGATTTCAGAGGTACAGTGTGACCCTACAACTGAATTACTGTTCTCCACGCTAAGTCCTAAGAAGTCGTCATTTCCGTGCACAGCGGTGTGATAGATAGCTGGAAAGCTCTGCTGACCTGATGGAACCGCCGTTATTGTTATACTCTTGACAGTGGTTAGCCAAATGAGAATTGCCAGTGCGTGAGTTCCTGTTTGATGGAGAAAGGACGATATCAAACGGATGGACCGAGACTCAAGAAGACATCAACGTCACTTCATATATATATATATATATATATATATAGCACGATTGGTTACTCATCTGTATCCTCGTCGAGTCAACGGCAGTACGACCATTACTGTATTCCTGAAATACTGGTTGTCCCTCTGTCAATGTCTGGGATTCTTTTTCCCGGAATGTTGGCTCGAGGTTTGTCACAAAACACTAAAGAGAAGAACACTGGTGATGTGGTCTGAGAGAAAAGTGAGTCTGGGAATGTATACCGAAACTGGCGAGATATGACTGCGGTGTCATGAACTTAATCGACACGTTTATTTGCATGCACGTAAAGACGTGAGACCAAAACGGCGATATGATTCCCTCATCTACATTGGCGCTGAGTCATTGCGGAGATGTGATGATACTGCAGACTGCCGGCGTTTGTCAATGATTCAGAACAAGTTACAACAGGTATGTCGAGAAAGAGACGCACGTGTGAGGATACATGAAAGGGTCAAGGACGAGAACGAGAACGAGAATGAGAACGAGAACGAACGAGAACGAGAACGAGAACGAGAACGAGACACACGAAACCACAATGTTAGGATATCAAGGAATCTCTTGTCAGAATTGTTACAAAGGCAATCCGCCGTTGGCATACTCTCGCAAACAGGTTATCACGGGACGGTAGACGTTCTCGGCATTCTGTAGGTTAGCCTCGCAAGCGACTGGGATTGTCTGAACGAGCAAATCAATAGTTAGCGCCTTTTCCGTGTGTCTAGTGGCCTCGCACGAACCGAGAGGTTACTAGCGAACACAAGGCTTGTGAGTAAGCTGGTGCACGCGAGATGGAGCCTATGCCAAGCGCCCTCAAATGCACCCAACGTATCCACAATTTCCGCGCAATCTTGCTTGGCACTATCCACACAGGACTGAGAACCAGAGAGAGGACTCTCGGAAGCCAGCCCGACATAGTCCACTTTGGATCTCGAGGTATAAGAGTCGACTTATTTAATCAATTAGAAAAGACACGGGAGTTACGTAACAGTGAACCCGACGTACGTTCCTTGAGTTCAACCCAGAGAGTAATGGATCTCCCAGGAGTCCCTACAAAAAAAGCGTCGGAACAAAACGCTGGCGCGATGCGGTATACTTACAGTAATAGAGCCTAACTCCAGAGATGCGAGACAACATGGAGCTGCTTCAGTTTGAAACATACATCATGACGGGCAAATACCCCAGGGAATCATATAAGATTGGAATCATATATGATGCTAAGGACCGCGTCAGAGGTTAGCACCGTAATTGAACAGCGTTAATCATACATGATTAGCGTGGATGAAAGATGCGGGCGCCAAAACATGAACTACGACCGGATTCGAACCAACGCTCACCCGGTTCCCAACCGGCACTTCAACCACTACACCACAGGGCCATTATAAACTGTTTTTATATATTACATATATACCTTCGTTAGGAGTATAATAATGTATGTGCCCGACCATCTAACTCTGCATTTTTGCACTTGTCTAATAATATATGATAATTACTCTGCCCAACAATCAAGATAATGTTATATGATTCAGGCCAATTACTGGGATGAGCCAAGCAATACAGTGTATGTATGATTGAGATTGCTCCGACGAGCCCGCTGAGCCACAGGCTTGGAAACCGTGTAGTTTATATCGTGTGGCTTGGGCGCTAAAACTCACGGAAGATCGCAGTCGGTCCTCATGTATGATTAAACAGCCAGTATGATTAAATAGTAATCATGTATGATTAAACAATGTGTAATCATGCATGATTACTATTTAAAGGCCAGCTGAGCCAGGCTTAAAACTGTATAGTTTATATCGGGTGGCTTGGGCGCTAAGACTCGTGGAAGATCGCAGTCGGTCCTCATGTATGATTAAACAGCCAGTATGATTAAATAGTAATCATGTATGATTAAACAATGTGTAATCATGCATGATTACTATTTAAAGGCCAGCTGAGCCAGGCTTAAAACTGTATAGTTTATATCGTGTGGCTTGGGCGCTAAGACTCGCAGAAGATCGCGGCCTATGATTAAACAGCCAGTAATCATAGGTAATCATGCATGATTAATTTAAAGCGCCGCTGAGCCACACGGCTTAAAACTGTATAGTTATACTGGGTGGCTTGGGCGCTAATACTCAGGGAAAATCGCAGCAATTATTTATGATTAAAAACAATGAAACAGCCCAGTGTTCATGTATGATTACTACTGCACTGAGGTCTTGAAATGCACCATATGACACAGCCACTGGGAAACAGATTTACCGAGCAGAGTCCACACATAACGAACACTCAGCGCCAAGGCATCATGGTAACAATCCAACAATAATTGAACAGAATGCTACGACATGACATGATACTAACAGACATCTGAGCCCAAGAGAAAGCAACACACAATAAACCGACCACCTGATATAGCCAAGAACGACAAAGAGAGCATAGCGACGTTAACATTCAACACAATAAATTAAACGCTTACAAGAAGAACCTAGCGACCAAGCAAAAGTCATAGATGTATTCAGCAAGACGCACATCAAAATAGTTGGCAGGGGAGGAAACATGGTCACAAAAGAGGAAACGTCGCGCGATGACAATCAGATGCGGGCACACGACGTTAACATGGCCGCTGGATTTTACAGCACAGGCCTAAGGGTCATTAACCAAGGTGTCCAGATAATCAAAACAAAAAAAACTTACGTCTATACAATCATAGCCATGATGACAGATGCAAAAGGCAGGCTGCCCGAGCTAGAGCCGCGGTGGGAACTGGGTATATGAGGCACTAATTCGAGAGCATACCACGTCGACATGGCCCCCGCGCTGTTAAATGACGGGCCTAAGGAGTCATTAATGCAAGTTCAGAATGATCACAAAACATAACATACGTCTATGAGAGCACGATCAGGGTAACAACAGATGAGTGTCAAGACATGATGGCCGAGGTAGGGTCGCGATGGGACTGAGGGGAGATGCGGACACTACTTCGAGGCGAAGAGGCGACGAGGTGGCCGATGCTACGACAAACAGCGCGACCGGAAGAAGAGGTAGCTGGAAAGAGTTACGACGGGAGACCACAGTGGCAGAGTGACGAGGATAGCAGCAGAGCCCATGCTTCAAATGGAACACGACGAAACGGTCTGCAAAAGGTTACGCGTGAGCGTAGTGAATGGCCAAGAGATAATACTGCATACCTGTCACTCAACCAGCATTATCATCATCCATGATCAACAGTGGACGGATAGTCCACTGTGATCTGAGATCGGAGAAACCCAACGGCGAGAGGGGGGCCAGGCGCACGATGGAAGTGTAGGCCAGCCTCACTACGGTCATGCAATCAGCAAAAGCGCGACTGAAAAGGTGCGCTTGCATCACCTTCGGCTCAACGTGTCAAACGTTGAGCAGGCGGCGGCGAGACCACGACCAGGCAAACAACGAGACGAGGAGAAGATGGAACGCAGTAAGAGAAAAGATGGGAAATAAACGAGCGGGTGGGTGTGACTTATATCTGCGAGGTTACAGCCCCACGGCAAACGCCGTCAACTATACAGGCGTTCCCACGGGCCATTGTCAGCTGGCATTATGGCGCCATACTTCAAATCGGCCGATTTCAGACGCGGGAAACCACATTGTTCCCACGCCATGGGCTCCCCTTACTAGTCATACACCTTGAAAACAATTGAATGCATTTGCACACAGTAGAAATACATGACTGAATGCAAATCAAAAACCATAGTAAAAAATCGCATCCATACTGTGAGAGATAGGGAAAAAAGATTCAAACAACTTGCACCGGGAGGGAATTGAACTCTCCGTCCCGAGGAAAAAAGCGCCCTATAGGCGTATCGGCAACGCGCCAATCATATCACAGTAAAGTTGTGATTGGCGCGTTGCCAATACACCATAGGGCTGCCTGAAAAGGCATGTCGCAATGTTAACTTGTCATGATTCATCTTTGAAAATAATGGTCTGTATTTGCACACAGTAGAAATGAATGAATCAATTCAAATCAATTCAAATACCATAGTAAAAAAATAGCATCCATACCGAAAGAGATAGGGAAAAAAGATTCAAACAACCTGCACCGGGAGGGAATTGAACTCTCCGTCCCGAGGAAAAAAGCGCCCTATAGGCGCATCGGCAACGGGCCAATCATATCACAGTAAAGTTGTGATTGGCGCGTTGCCAATACACCATAGGGCTGCCTGAAAAGGTATGTCGCAATGTTAACTTGTCATGATTTATGATCGTCTTCAACCACACAGCTTCACAACAAATTGGGAAAGCACAGATAATAAGTTATGTAGGTATCAATCTATTGAGTAGCTACAAGATATAGAGTCCTATAAACATCATTTAGCAGAAACGCAGTGACATGAGATTGATACATACCACAGACAAACACTCGACATTTTTCCAATCCTTCTTGCAGCGCTCTATCAACCGAGTGTGCCGATATGCTTGCCTGACGAAAGCTCGTCAGTATTTGATAAGATATACAACCATAGTCCACTTACTTTCGTGCATACCCTGCGCGTCCAGCGCAATCCGAGCGCTCTGCAGCTGCCATCCAATGATTTTCATAGTACTTGAAGAAGCGTGCTGTTCGCTTCATTTCTTCGGAGAGAAGCAGCGTTTGTTCGTACCAGCGTTGCTTCAGCGCACTGGTTCGGAACCAGTGCACACGAACAGCTTCAAGGCGATGTCATTATAAAGTAAGATCCAAAGCCTGAATTAGAACGTACCATCCTCGAAGTACTCTTTTACCGCATCATCACCTTGGGCGTTGATGAAACTGAGGTCTTCCCAGATCCAGGATGTTCGAGTTTTCGAATCGCCAAGTCGCTGATCGGCAGTAAATACGGTGAAGGCTTTGACATCCTCTTTGTTGAGCGGTCGGTACACAGGGTCGTCGTGAGGCATACCGAGCGCGAGGAGTGCAATCCGAGTGCGACGATAGGCCGCTGCAGAGTTTTGGACTGATTTCCACTTACGACGAATCGCACCGAAGGCGCGGGTGGTGCGTCGTTGTCCACTAACTTCTTTCTTCTTGGCGGTCAGTCCATAGCTGGTGATCAGGTGCGTGCGCAGGTCGTCAAGGTACTTCTGCGCTTGGTTCTTGCGCAATTCTGTCTCCACCATAACAGCACCTCGCATAGCAGGACGGTCTCGGACGGTGGGATGGTGAGAAGACGGAAGTTCGATCAGGACGGCGTTAACCTCCTGCCATGCTTCGGATCTCTTTCCCGATGTCGCAGGCCGTCCTACGTCTTCCGGTGGTCGCTTGCGCTTGAGAGCTGTGGATGGGACTGTGGGTGGGACTGTGGGTGGGTGCGCTACGGTGAACTTCGAGAGGACGGTTGGTGTCGAGGTGGTGCCGACGAGATTGACCGCGCGTTTCCCTTTGCGTTTCGGTAGCGAACGTGTGGCTCGGTCTACAGTTGTTGAATCTTCCGGCTTTGCGGGCACCTCAATGACGTCTTCTTCAGGCGCCACCCAGCCCTCAACCTCCTCATCCACTTGTCCAGTCTCGGTGTCTCTTTCGAGTGCCTCCGCTGCAACTTGTTTGGCCTTATCATCCAAGGCCTCCGCGGCTTCATCCACCAACGGGGACAAGTACGTCCCGGCCCGCGTTCGCCACGCGTCCACACGTTTGGTGAAGGCTTTGCGTATATCGATCAAAGTACTCGCCGGCACATCGCTATTGGCTCCTGCAGCAAGCTCCTGCAAGATCTCTGCCCTTCACAGCCGATCAGCTTGGCACTTATTACACCTGAAGCATGGAGACTTACTTTACATCCTGGAGATCAATCCCTTCTTCGATCACTCCTACGAGCCCGAGTGAAAACCCGGCACTCTGAGAGGCCTTCGCTGACATGTTGGCGAGCAATTGTTTCTGCGTGAGGGCTACGGCATAACGGACCGGTCAGTATTTGGGCTAGAATGCAAACAGTATTTACGTCGCTCACCTTTTTGTTGACGAGGCTCGTAGGGATTCTTTAGGTTCTTGTGCTCTTCCATGTTTACAACCTTACCCACCCATACCGATTCCTCCTGCTTCCACTCTGCTAATTTCCCTTGTCCAATCACCCCAGCACATATCTCTTCTTCAAGTTTCTCGAGGGTAGTTGCAGCACGCGAGTGCATAGCCTCTGCTTCAACGTTCTTGCGTTTCAGAAAATGAGCTATTGCAAGGTTAACGCAGAAATTAATTAGAGGAGGAACGACTCACACATATCGTGCGTGCGGCGGATGTTCATATCAGTGTGAAAGTCGTTGATCACGTCGTGCCGGTGTCCTGAAGACATCTCCCTTGTACGAAGCGCGAGGGCGTTGAGAGAGGCCCAGATACGTTCGGGGGCTTCACCGTCGGTCATCCCGACCCCAGGCAAGTAATGGAGG